TCACTGCATTGAATGGGTTATCCAAAATATACTTTACTTAATTTCTAATATATAGCCGAAGAATTATGAGGAAAAACGTTTTACAGCCAAGGAATAAACGCTTTCATGAAAAATAATTCTGTTCAAAACATATACGAATATAATTTGTACTAAAAATTAAATCGAACATTACAGTATAACAATTAAACTAAAGGAACTTTTAGTCTGATTAAAATACTTTTATTTCTATACAGTTTCACACTTTGACGAGAATTCTCACTCTCTTATTACTTCATATTCTACTCTTGAGCAAAGTAGTCTCTATTAAGACTACATTCTTTTTGCCAAAAGCTTGTTCAATAACTATAATTTTACTGTAAAGTTTACCATTGAATTCTTCTTGTAATTAGGTATCCAAACCATAAACAATTTGATGATATTGGTAATTCTATTGTTAAATATCTTAAATTACCTTTAACAAAACAAAATATCGTAAGTTCACTTAACAGGTATAAGCACCATTATTTTTTTTCACATAGACCATATGGAAAGATGCCTTGCAAACAAAATTAAAACGTAAACGTTTTGAATATCGAAACAACACTGTTGTTCAAGAACACTTGCTAAAATATTCACGATCAGGATTTGGACGTCCAGTTAAACGAAAAATTGGTGAAACAGCTGAACGTGATCGATACAAACAAGTAAATTAGAACTGAATATTGTTCATTACTTCATTTTTTTTCTAGATAATAATTTCTTACAATGACGAAATATCAACTGATATTCAATCAAAATCAGATCAACTACGAGATACAACTACAATTGATATTCATACTCAGTTACGTTTATGGAAAGAAACACTGTACTTTCGTCGACAATCTATCGGCAATCGATCAACAACAGATATTCTAAAAGATTTTCCAGGTTATACTAATCCATTATTGGTAATTTAATTTGTTATTTACTGTTTATTTGTACTGAATAAATCGATTTCTGTAACAGATCTTTGAAGAAATTAAAATGTTGTTGAAAATCGATTTGAGTGCTGCCGTACGACGACAAATTCCTATATTACTAGACAAGATACTTGAAACTCCTATTTTTATTACAGGTAAATAAAAACACTAATATATAAATATAATTGAAGTTTCATCTGATTTCAGATTCACCTGCTATTCGATTAATCAAAGTCTTATGTCAAAAATTCGATGAAACTCTACAACATACGTTTTGTGAAGCCGTAAGTTTTTTTCTATATCTTCGATTGATACTTCTGTTAGAGATTCCAATATAAAAGACCTGAGATTATTTTGCGCCGATGAAAATCAATAAATGATTAATTCACATGAGAAAAAGCATAAAACTAGAATTTCAACTTACGATAATCGTGATAGGTATCCATTTTATCTGGTCTTATCATATTCATAACTCATCTGTCTTTCGTTCAACATACAGCTCTTATTCACTCGCACTACTCATATTTAGGGGTGGTCACTTAGTGTTACTTTACTACATAAAGATAAGTGAACCCTTTATTTTTAGAAAATAAAGATAAGTTAATCATTTATCTTTAGAAAATAAAGTATGAATGATTCATTTATCTTTATCCTTTAGTATAAAGAAAAACAAAGATAAAATTGATCCCGACAACTAGCGGTGAGTTTTTACGGATACTTTGTTTTTCGTGGCTAAATGAACCCTTTATCTTTATAAAGTAAAGAATAATTTTTTTTGAACCATTTATGATTTATTTTCTAAAGATACATGATTTACTTATCTTTATTATCTAAAGATAAAGGGTTCATTTATTTTTTTCCTTTAGTATAAAGGAAAATAACAATAAAGAGTCACCCCTATTCGTATTAGAAATTTCTATCACAATGACTCAGCTGTGATTTTCAAATCAATACATTTATAAATTAAAATATTGCGTACCTAATAAAGATGTTTATCAGAAAATGATATATCATGGATCTTTTTAGTCTCTTTTTATTTTTCTATATCGTTGGAACTTAATTTTTTTAGGAACCATCAACACCATATCCAACATTAGTTTGTATTGATAATCTCATTCACGTATACGTTGATTTTAATCCAATTCTTTCAACTAATTCACCGGACAATGCTGTTGCACTTCTTATCGCGATATACACAATTTTCGAATTATCATTTGATAAAAAAAGCCGAACAATTCGATTTCTTTATTCAATAATACATGGTGACAAACGATTCCTTTCTAATTCTATTCGTTTCTTCATCAAAGAAAAAAAAATCGATATTCAATGGGAACACCACCAAATATCATCGTCTTCTTCAAATTTTCCATCAGTTTGTTCAACAACACCGATTATTGAGCCTTCAACTCATTCACAAATTCAAGTGAATTCATCATATGATCCTTCAATTGAACATGATTCTTCAAACCTTGATCAAACAACTGAACCAAAATCGTCAAATAATAATTCTAGTCCTGATATGCTTATTACTACAAATGAGTGAGTTCTACTATCTGAACCTATCAACTTGACAAAACTTACAATTTTTTTTCATATAGATGTGGCAATAATAATGAAAATACATCATTACCCGATCTTGATTCACAAACCACCACGAAGAAACAACGAAAAAGAAAAAATAATTTAAATCTGGACGATGAAAATTCCACATTTTCGAATCCTGCTGAAAAAATGAATCATCAACTTTCAACTCAAAATCAAGTGCCACTGAACGATATTACTAATTCAACACATAATGCAAGACAAAATAAAAAGAAACGACGATTTTAATCAAAATATTCACAAAGACTAAAACCGAACAATTACAAAACTCTGTCGTGCATTTATTTTTTGTAGTTAAACTTGCGCCACGAACTTATTTCACTTATTCGTCGTTTTTTTTCTCCTTAATCTACGTTATATAGCTTTCTTTTTATTTTAAAACATAACCAATAAGGAGATATCCGGTTCAAGTAACTAAAGTATTATTTTCATTGATTTATTTCGAAACCACGAAAATGATTCTGCAATCCTAAGGCAAAATATAAACAATATAAAATTTTTCCTATTCTTCCTCCCAGCTGTCATGCTTTCACGTCTCATAACCACATCAATCAATCAATCAGACGTTGCTTCATGAATCACTGTTCATGCTATTTTCCTTCGACTAGACATCTACTTCATTAATATTTGAGCAATACAGCTATTGATTGTTTGATTTCGACTTTTTTTACTCCTGTATTTGTTATCCAATAACACTAATATCATGCAATTATAGCCATCTCATTTCATTCTATCAATCTTCTTGTATCATTATAAACACATTATTAGCAAAATTATGAACCAACCTTCGCAATTCAACTTCCTTTTCCATTTACTATAAACATCAATCCATGTTATCGTGTAATATGTCTTCTCCCACTACACTCAGTTGTGGAAGTAGCTCCACAACCAACTATCACTAACATTGAAAATTAATTCTTTTTCTGGTTTCTTTTCATTTTTAATGCGTTTCAAACTTTGCACGAGTTTTCGCTCTGTATTCTTATTCACTACCTTCAAGTCCTTAGCATATGCACTAATGAACCATCCTTAAGAACTTCTTTGAAAGAACAATTTTTCTCATCCACTTTTTCTCTTAAAAAAATTATTATCTTCCACGATTTCTTAGATTTCTCTTCTTATTGCCTACCAATTCCATTACAACCTTAGACGTAAAGGAACAGCTATGACATATTTTAAAAAACATTTTCCCTTCTCTTGATTCTAGATTTCAATTTCTTCTTTGCTCCAACAATAAACTATTTTTTAATATCGTCTGAGGATCCTTCATTTTCATACGTATATATATTAATAAAAAACCACTAACCCGAACCCTTCTCCATAATTTTCTCTTTTCATTTTTCTTCACATCGTACCAAAATTGCAGCTATTGGTTATTCGCCGATATATATATAATGATATTCCCGTGATACACCAATAGCAACCGGTAAGAGAAATTTAAAACTGATAATTTTATTTTCAAATTCTCTATAGGTAGCAATATTCAGTTTATTGTTTATTCTTCTGTTATATGTCAAATGATATTCCTATGTTCAACCAATAACAACCAGTAAGCCAGATTCAAATTTTATACTTTCTTTTTTTTCAATTTCTCCATAGGTACCAATATTCAGTTTATTGTGTATTCCTCTGTTATATATCAAATAATATTCCTAATAAAAACCAATGACAACTGGCAAAACATTTTAATTTTATACTTTCTTTTTTTATTTTTTTTCACAGGTACCGTTATTCTGTTTCTTGTTTAGTCATTTGTTACATATGAAATGATATTCCTATGATCAACCAATAGCAACCGGTACGACAAATTTAAATCTTATACTTTCGTTTGTTTTCAATTTCTTCACAAGTACTGTAATTCTGTTTATTCCTTATTCTTCTGTTATACATCAGTTGATATTCGTATGATCAACCGATAACAACCGGTAAGACAAATTTTAATCTGATAAGGTTTTTTT